GGGTCACAGTCCTTGTCTGGTCGGGGTCACAGTTCTTTTCTAGTCGGTGTCACAGTTCTTGTCTAGTCGGGGTCACAGTCATTGTCTAGTCGGGGTCACAGTTATTGTCTAGTCGGTGTCACAGTTATTGTCTAATCGGGGTCACAGTCATTGTCTATTCGGGGTCACAGTTATTGTCTAGTCGGGGTCACAGTCATTGTCTAGTCGGGGTCACAGTTATTGTCTAGTCGGGGTCACAGTTCTTTTCTAGTCGGGGTCACAGTTATTGTCTAGTCGGGGTCACAGTTCTTGTCTAGTCGGGGTCACAGTTCTTTTCTAGTCGGGGNAGGTCACTGTTCTTGTCTAGTCGAGGTTAAATTAAATCCTTGTCTTGCCGAGGTCATAACCTCTGCGAGTGGTGCCAAATATTGATATACTCATGTATTAATATACTGCGTAAGGTGAGCAAACCGTGATCAACTACCAATCTGTGTATAACACTGTCTGTTGATATAATTATGGATCGATATAAATAACCTTAATCTTTTACATTGATTTCTCGTAGAATGTTCTTATTTTGATGGTATCCTAGCACAGAGTATCAGGTTCACAGTTAATGAGAATGACAACAGTAATCTTCTTCTTTTTTTTTTTATCTATAATACAGTAATACAGGTATTTATTTTCACTGCGTACATATCTACAAAATGTATTATCACTTCAAATGCTACACAGCTACAGTGTCTTCGTTCTTCTATTGTTTTATATCTTTTTACTTTTAAATATTGTTAACGACGAGAAGGTTACCATTTCAACTCACATCTCTCGGTCGCTTACTAGATATGGTTGTATCTATATATTCCATACTTGTTAAAGACCACGTTTCGTTAAGAAATAAAAACTATAAATCGTAGACGCAATTTTCTATAGAACATATCAAATGACTAGGAAATGAATGAGCTCACGTGATCCGGGGGTAGAAACAGGTGCCCTTTGTACAACGTTAATGTATTCTGTGATATTGACTTGGTAGTTAATATAAACCGACAAAATGATTTATCACCCCAAACATCTCATTTACAGTTCTCGTTAATAGTTTTAAATGAAATATATTATATTTTAAACAGAATTCGTATTAAACCGTTTGTAATTTCCTATCCACTCGTTTAGAATCTTACCGGTATATCCAATTTCAATGCGAGTATTTATAACACAAAACTATTAACACATTTAGGATCATTTGTCATAATGTCTTACTGTAGAGACATTTATACCTGCCAGGTAGTTCAATAAAACGTTTCACTGGCACGTACACACTTCAGCTGGTTATTCACCTGTCGTGTGCTTCAATCATTAGTTTCTGTGTTCAGTTCGATATGTAACGTACGTGAGTGACAACCTGTATAAAGCAATAACTGTCTAATCGGACTATTAAATCCTCAAACAAACTTAATTATTACATCGACAAATGTCTGTTCTGGCAATTTATTCATTATACAAACTCTATGCTATATATAAAAACCTATCTAATCTGGCAATATGCTACTAAAACGAATTCTTTATTACATAATAACCTGATAACCTGTCTTATCTGGCTATTGTGTCCTTACACAAACTTCATATTACATTAATAACCCGTCTTATCTGGCAATTTGGTCCTTACACAAACTCCTTATTACATTGATAACCCGTCTTATCTTGCAATTTGGTCCTTACACAAACTCTATATTACATTGATAACCCGTCTAATCATGCAATTTGGTCCTTACACAATCTCCATATTGCATTGATAACCTCTCTTATCTGGCAATCTGGTCCTTACACAAACTCCATATCACATTGATAACCCGTCTTATCTGGCAATTTGGGCCTTACACAAACTCCATATTACACTTATAACCTGTCTCGTCTGGTTAGATGGTCCTTACACAAACTCCATATTCCATTGATAACCTGTCTCGTCTGGTTAGTTGGTTCTTACACAAACTTCATATTACATTAATACCCCGTCTTATCTGGCAATTTTGTCCTTACACAAACTCCATATTACACTTATAACCTGTCTCGTCTGGTTAGATGGTCCTTACACAAACTCCATATCACATTCATAACCCGTCTTATCTGGCAATTTGATCCTTACACAAACTCCATATTACACTTATAACCTGTCTCGTCTGGTTAGATGGTCCTTACACAAACTCCATATTACATTGATAACCTGTCTCGTCTTGTAATTTGGTCCTTACACAAATTCCATATCACATTGATAACCCGTCTTATCTGGCAATTTGGTCCTTACACAAACTCTATATTACATTGATAACCTGTCTTATCTGGCAATTTGGTCCCTTCACAAACTCCATCTTACATTGATAACATGTCTTATCTGGCAATTTGGTCCTTACACAAACTCCATATTACATTGATAACCCGTCTTATCTGGCAATTTGTTCCTTGCACAAACTCTTTATTACATTGATAACCTGTCTTATCTGGCAATTTGGTCCTTACACAAACTCCATATTACATTGATAACCTGTCTCGTCTTGCAATTTGGTCCTTACACAAACTCTATATTACATTGATAACCTGTCTTATCTGGCAATTTGGTCCCTTCACAAACTCCATCTTACATTGATAACATGTCTTATCTGGCAATTTGGTCCTTACACAAACTCTATATTACATTGATAACCCGTCTAATCTGGCAATTTGGTCCTTACACAATCTCCATATTACATTGATAACCTGTCTCATCTTGCAATTTGGTCCTTACACAAACTTCATATTACATTGATAACCCGTCTAATCTGGCAATTTGGTCCTTACACAATCTCCATATTACATTGATAACCTGTCTCATCTTGCAATTTGGTCCTTACACAAACTCTATATTACATTGATAACCCGTCTAATCTGGCAATTTGGTCCTTACACACCCTCCATTGGCATTGATAACCAGTCTTATCTGGCAATTTGGTCCTTACACACCCTCCATTGGCATTGATAACCTGTCTTATCTGGCAATTTGGTCCTTACACAAACTCTATATTACATTGATAACCTGTCTTATTTGGCAATTTGCGCTTTAAACAAACTCCATTTTACATTGGCATTCTGTGTTATCTTCTCGGTAACCGCTATGGTTTTCAGCGAATAATACTAATTTTGATGTATGGTCACAAAACCATGCACATACATAGGCAAGACCGTACACTTGTGTTTTTCTAACGAATCAGAAAGCACGAGCATATCACACACCTTCCGTATTTGGTAGAGTTCGAAACAAAGATTTTACAAACTTTGATATTTGTTTGCAAATACCGGGAACTTTTCAGTTCGCCATGACATGGGGATTCCCATAAAAAGTAGTTCCGGCTAGTAGGTAAATACAACAATCCGTATTGCACATGTGCAATACAGAACGTTGTATTTCAAGGTCTGAAAATTGCTTGTAATAAGTATAACAAGATTCAACAGGTATGTGATAAAAAAAAAACACACACATCCACACTGACGGTTACTGTCATGTGTGTATGATAACACTCATGAGTTTTTAAAGGAGTTCAACCTTTTTTAAATAATTAATCGTATACCTTTCGTACGATGTTCCCTGCTGGCCTATACAAACCATTCTGAGTGTCATTAGACACCGATAAAACAGGACGCTTCCGATACTGAGGGTCATTAGACACCGATAAAACAGGAAGCTTCCTATAGTGAGTGTCATTAGCCACCGATAAAACAGGAAGCTTCCGATCGTGAGTGTCATTAGACTCCGATAAACAAGGAAGCTTCCGATAGTGAGTGTCATTAGACCCCGATAAAACAGGAAGCTTCCGATAGTGAGGGTCATTAGACACCGATAAAACAGGAAGCTTCCTATAGTGAGTGTCATTAGCCACCGATAAAACAGGAAGCTTCCGATCGTGAGTGTCATTAGACTCCGATAAACAAGGAAGCTTCCGATAGTGAGTGTCATTAGACCCCGATAAAACAGGACGCTTCCGATAGGGAGTGTCATTAGACACCGATAAAACTGGTAGCTTCCGATAGTGAGTGTCATTAGACACCGATAAAACTGGTAGCTTCCGATAGTGAGTGTCATTAGACCCCGATAAAACAGGACGCTTCCGATACTGAGGGTCATTAGACACCGATAAAACAGGCCGCTTCCGATACTGAGTGTCATTAGACGCCGATAAAACAGGACGCTTCCGATCCTGAGTGTCATTAGACACCGATAAAACTGGTAGCTTCCGATAGTGAGTGTCATTAGACACCGATAAAACAGGCCGCTTCCGATACTGAGTGTCATTAGACACCGATAAAACAGGACGCTTCCGATACTACCTTATTCATAATGATAGGTTGTTTAACTCCACGACTTACCTTGGACAACGACTAACAATAAAGTATTGTTGTATATTTGTACATCGCTGATTGCCGCAGATGCTTAATTTTACAGAATTTGATTCCAATTTTATTGTTCACTTTTTAAAAAGGAAGATATAAAGTTACCAAAGCTAACTTACGTACCACAGGGACGTGAGAATGTGTGACAGCTATATTTGGACCTAAACTAATGTGTTCAGAGTAGTTTTACACGTTTTAGGGGTTTTGATCAACTTTCGGTAAAAAATGCCATCCCAATGACGATTCTAACTACAATGGCGCGAATGCCCTAAAGTTCAAACAACTATGTTTATGAAACAACACTGTCTATATATAACTATTCACTATTCAGAGTTTATTCTACTCTTATTAAATAATTGAATCTTGCTTTGGTCGATTTCATGGTCATGAGACAAATTTTTGAATTAACACTATAATTTGTCACTTATATTATACCAATTACAAATATATTTCTTTGTCCATGTTCATGTTCCACTCCACCTGTACCACCTATGTGGATTGTTATAATGTTATGCACAAATGCATTTTTGCCTATTGCTTAATAAAATATACGTGATTTCGGTATTTACGGTCATTTTGTATTGTATTTTTTGGTGTTTTTACAGAGGAATGAGCTGAAGAACCTGCCGAGGTCACACTACGTACGTATACAGTAAATCAGTCATTGTGTGATACTATCTGTTAGCTCAATGTCTCTATATTATTACTGAAGTGTAATCCTACCGTCTATACACTGTAAATGTGTGTTTAAACTGTTGCTGTCGATTTTAACTCTATGTTAACGTCTTGAAACAACCGTAACCGGGTAAAGAGCACAGGGACATGAGGAGGATTGGACGTTTTATTTCCACCTCTAATGGTGGTATATACTATAGTTAGGATTGGTCCAAACAACAGTAACAAAGTACCATGTCCCTGCTATACCGGGTTACAGTTATATACCAACTATAACACGTTACCAGGTCCCTATGGTATAGAACAGTCTAAATGTCAGACTGTGATCAGCACTATACTGCAATACCCTTATAACCGATAACAACTGAAAAGTTTTGTCTCTCGTGTCATCTCCTTTCAATGTTTTTTATTTTATTTAATCATATTATTGCTTCAAATTTAGCAGAGAATTAGGCACAACTTATCAACGCCTTTTCTTCTAATACAGTGCATATTGATATTCACCTTTCAGTGTTCCATTTTCTTTGTCAAATCTCGTCCCCGGTCACTTTTTAAAAAAGAGTCGGGGAGAACATACGACCACTGAAAATAACATGGAGTGAAAAAAATCTAATATACTAATAAAATATGTAGAATTAACTAGACACCAACTATGACGCTGTGTTTTTAATGAGACTACTTTATTAATACAACTGGTATTTGATTGGATGTTCTGTTACAGCTGTACGGCCGCGTACACGGAAATACGCCGCTCAGTACAACCTCCGTATGTATAAGTACCCGCACGTGTAGAAATTCCACTATCCCTCTGTGCTTATAGTGCCCCCCTGGCGTCCATTTCCAGTGGCGGATCCAGAGGGTTTTTTTGGGCTTCAGGAAACCCCCCCACCCTGAGATTTTTCTTTAAAAATCATGTATTTTCACCATTTNATTTCCTGCCTCAGTACCATTTCTCTCCGCTTGGCTGCGCTCTTTGTTTTACGTTCGAAGCGAAATCTGCGGAGAGTAGAAAAACTACGGGCAGCCAATCCAGTCAATTATTTCTGCCATCAGTTACACAATCATTGTTAAGATACATACATAAGCGTTTATATAACAAAGAAATTCAAAAATATACGAAGGTAACTTATGTTTGACAGGTGAGCTGTTGAGTTAACCCCTTTACGAATCTGAGTCAACAGAATCGGGAATACGGGGTTTTGTTTAACTTTCTTTAGTTATCTATTTTTAGTTTCTTTATATACTCTTTTATTGTTTGGATTGGTGATTCTTTTGTATATCCTTTTTAATGGCAGAGTATACTGTACCAGACAGTGTTTTCTTCTTTTGTTTTCCTGTTTTTACGTCTTGGTAGTCGTATTACGAATTCTACATAATGCAAAAACAAGTCAGGACAATGGCAGGCGGAAAATGAAGACGTTATTTAAACTCAAAAGCAAAACCCTGACGCCACATTGTTTTACTGCAGTACAAATATTTTTGACCTATATTTATGATCAAGCGATTCATTATGCATGTAGAATTACAAGAGTTTATTAGCCTTGACCATCCGCCCATGCGAAAACATTGCTGATGTCTTTAGAAAGTGTTATAGTTTGAATGTAAACCATCGAAATTAATAAATAAATAAAGTGGACAAGCATTGTTTTCCAGCTACTACCTTCTCGATGTATGTCTACCCGCTACACTGTCTTAGCGGGTCTACACCAATTCTATGTCCTGTCTGTGATGATGTGTGTTTACTCGCTTCCATTTCTTGACATGTCTGTACTGCTCCTTTGTTTGTTTGTTTCCTTTGTTTTCGGGTATATAATCGACCCATTGCCTTTTTCACCTGTGTCTGTTGTTGCCTCAACAGGATTGACGCCTCCTCTGTTGTTGTATCAGTCGTATCTCTATTGTTGACTCGACAGGCTTGACGCCTCCTCTGTTGTTGTATCAGTCGTATGTCTATTGGTGACTCGACATGCTTGACACCTTCTCCGTTGTTGTACCATCCTTATATCTATTGGTGACTCGACATGCTTGACGCCTCCTCTGTTAGTATACCATTCGTATCTCTATTGTTGACTCGACAGGCTTGACGCCTCCTCTGTTGTTGTACCATCCTTATATCTATTGGTGACTCGACATGCTTGACGCCTCCTCTGTTAGTATACCATTCGTATCTCTATTGTTGACTCGACA